AGAGAGAGAGAGAGAGAGAGAGCGGGAGGGGAAAACCACATTTGGCTGCGCGTAATGGGTAGGTAAGCACGCGTACAGTTGCACGCGTGCGTGCATGTTTTCTAGTGTGCGTGCTTGCGCGCGCGCGCGCGTGTGTGTGTGTGCGTGCGTGTATGTGCGTGCGTGCGTACGTGTGTGTGCGTGCGTAAGCGAGAATGGGGGGGGGGCGGCGGCTGGGTGATCTCGGTAACTAATCAGACGCAATTGCGTAACACTTGCGCCGTCGACTCGTAAATTACGATAATTTATGAAAAATTACCAAATTTGCCCAATTTTAGCTCCGACGAGTCATGATCAATCATGCATGAATTGTGCGGGAAGGCCCCGCGTCGCCGACGACAACGACGAGTCGGCGTTGCGACAACAAAACCACCACGATTAATAGCAGACGACAACAAATCGGCAGCAAAAACAATAGAACACACAACAGACGACAACAAATCGGCAGCAAAACAATAGAACAAACAGCAGACGGTAACAAATCAACAGCCAAAACAATAGAACATCGAGCAGACGACAACGAAGCAACAGCAAAAACAATAGAACACACGACAGACGACAACAAAACTACAGCAGACAACAACGTAACTACAGCTACAGGTATCCCCTTCATAACAACACAATACAACAACAGCAACGAACATAAAAGAAACAACAGAGATAAACAGTCGCAATCATTACTTACAACGGCAAAACAGACAACTATGGCTGTGTTCATACCGCGGCAGCCCTTATTAAGTTCAAGGGCATCGGCATCACACCATATAAGACACAAGGAGCTATGCTCAGAACCTGTCAATCACCGATAAGCTCCTCCCAATATATAATAGCGATTGTATAATAGACAATATGCTATAGCGACTGTATAATAGTCAATATATAATATTGCGACTGTATAATAGACAATATATAATATTGCAACTGTATAATAGACAATATATAATAGCGACGGTATAATAGACAATATATAATATAGCGACTGTATAATAGACAATCTATAATATAGCGACTGTAGAGAAAGACAAGCTATGTATCGTGTATCAAACGCTGATCCTATGAGCAGTGTGAGCCCGGGGCGGGGGGAAGCTGAGAGTGAGACTAATGCATGCTAACGCCTGCAATCTGCTGAGAAGGCAATCAGTGAGATGGATGGAGGCTCGCCTTAGCTCGCAGGGGTGTGTGTGCGTGCGCGTGCGTGCGTGCGTGCGTGCGTGCGTGCGTTTGAGCGTACGTGCGCAAACACTGTGTGTGCGTGCGTGCGTGCGTGCGTTCATTGATTTGTACGTGCACATGTATAGCCAGGTGCGTGCGTGCCTGCCATGTAAGCGTGCGTGCGTGCGTGCGTGCGTGCGTGCGTGCGTGCGTGCGTACACACGCGTACGTGCACGGAGCTAGAACACACCGCTGTACGCTGATGATAACAGACATCTAAGAGTATTAGCAACCGTAATGCTGTAATCGTACTGCCCGTGTAGTAAGTGATTGGACTCCCCCCCTCCTCCCCCACATCTGTCTCTCTCGTTCGCCTCGCTTCACTTTCCTTCTCTCAATCTCTTTATCCATCTATCAAGCTAGGTAGCTAGCTATTCATCTATCTATCTATCTATCTATCTATCTATCTATCTATCTATCTATCTATCTATCTATCGCTAAGTATATAACCGCCCCCCCACCGCCCACAGCGCGGTCCCCCACACCCCCCCCACACAACACCCCCACCACACATCTATCTCTGCTATCTACTGATCTATCTATCTTAGCTATGCTAGCTATGCTAACAGGCTTATCTATCTTATCTATCTATCTATCTATCTATCTATCTATCTATCTATCTTATCTATCTATCTATCTATCTATGACTATCTACTATCTAGCTATCTATCTATCTATCAGGCTATCTAGGGGCTATCTAACTAAGCTATCTATCTAAATCTATTTTGACCTATCTATGTATCTATCCATTCCATCCAGCAGCCAGCCTCGTTTTTCATTCGTTTCTTTCCTCCTTCTCCGCCTCCTCCTCTCTGCTCCCTCTCTCTCTCCGCTCTCCCTCTTCCTCTCCCTCCTCCCCCTCTCGTAGCACCTCGCTCTTCCACTCTCTCTCCATGCTCCCGTTTCTCGCTCACTCATCCCTCTCTCCGCCCCATCTCTCCCGCTCCCGTCTCTCTCCCTCTCATCTCCTCCATCTCCATCTTCTGCGCCCCTTCTTTTGCCCCCTCTCCCTCCCTCTGCTCCCCTTCTTCCCCCTCTCCGTCCGTCTCTCCCTCTCTCCCTCTCTCCTCTTCTCTCTCCCGCTCAAGTGTTTCAGCATAGCAATCTGCAAGAATCCGTGCGTTATACGCTGCATCGTGGGAGCAGCTTCGCGCATCTTTATGGCTTCAGTACGACTAACCCCACTCCGATGGAGGCTCGCGCACAGACGATTAAAAAACGCGGCAAGCCGTACAGGTTTTAATCGGGAGTCGCTGGGGAGAAACACAATTAAGAGAGAGGGAAGAGGGATGGAGAGGTAGAGAGAGCAGTGTGCACAGAATGAAGAAGTGCGAAATGAGTGAGCGAGGTGTAATGAAGGAGGTGGTAAGAATCAGAGAGAAGAGCCGCGACCAGCGAAGGAAAGGGGGAGACAGACAGATAAGACAGACACACACACACACAACGACACACACCACCGCGGCACACACACACAGCACAACGCACGGCACGCACGCACGAACAGGCAGAAACGACAGAACACACACACACACACACACACACACACAACACACCACAACACACACCACACACACAACACACGGTGGTCGGGTAGTGGTGCTCGTGAGATCGTCTTAGGACGCGGCGATGCTTGGTCACACTTACACACAACACACACACACACACACACCCACACACAGAACAGCAAACAGAGAGAGAGAGAGACGAGAGAGAGAGAGAGAGAGAGAGA